TTATATCGTTCAGATTTCGGGAATTAACTGTTTTTATTTCTTTCCTTGGTCTTTTGATGTTCAAGTCAACAATAAGAAGATAATGATCGGAAATAAAGGAAGCCCTCCTCCTAGATGATCTACATTCTGCTTTTTCTTCTTCTTCCTCGTTCTCGATGACAGCAGCTAGACAGTCAGTCCCATGTCGCGCACAAACTGTGCAGTTCGCTTCAACTCTGATAGAGACCGCCGTTAAGCTTTCTCTCAAGGGGAGCCACATTCTGCCACGTCTGTTTTACGAAGGATGTCGTAGTGCGGGCAGTGCTGAAGGATATAGTTGGCATCCTCTTGGTCATGTCTACATGCACAGATCGCTGACTCTCCCTCTTTTATTTTGGTGTGCATATGGAGCTTGAGTCTGTTGAGGCCACAACGGAGTCTAAAGATTGTGACCTGGTCTGCTCTATTTAGTATGTAGTAGGGGTCATGTCTGTTGTGTTTGGGGAGGGACCTTTTCCATAATATGTTTCTTAAGGCAGATTTTATTAGTGTTTTTGACTCTGAGAGATCCATGCCATCTTCAATCTGGGTCATTTTGGATCCTTCTTCGTCTGCCTTTTCATTTCTATAACTGCCACAGTGACCTGGTATCCACTGCAGAGTTGTGTTGGCTTGGGAGTTTAGATCACATAGGGGTGAAAGGAGTTGTACTTAAGCTGTTTGTGGCTTTTGGAGAGCTGGTAGGACAGATTTGGCATCTATGAGGAAAACGGTGTTGGCTTTAGATTTTTGGTGATTCAAGAGAATGGTGACTGCTGTTTCGAGTGCTGATGTATCTGCTTTGTAATTGGAAGATAGAGATCCTGTGGGGATGGAATGACTTTCTGTTAACCCATCTATCCATTTTGTGTAGATACTTCAACCCCCGTTTCTTACTGCATCAGTAGCTGATCCATCTGTGTAAACTCGATTCCACCGTTTGCTTCGGAAGTTACTGTCTAGGTAGTCGAGTGTCAGTGACTTGAGTATTGGAGGAGGGACTTCAGATTTGGTGCCAAGCTTTTCTAGGTTCTCTCGAATTTTATTGGGGGGGGGGGGGGTGATTAGTCTGAAGGGGGTGGACTTGATACGAGTCTAGTGGGGTTGGAGATTCTTCAAGAGAGATTTCGAGTTCAGAGCTGGAGTGTCTGGCCATATGGAGGAAGCTTGTTCTTTTTAAGAGTTTGCTCTGGCTTTTTGAAGATCTATCCTTCATTAGATGGGTTGGCATTCTTTTGACCTTTTCCTTTCAGATCGCGTCTGTCGTTCAGGGGTTCTAGTCCCGTTAGTGTTTCCATGACATGAATGGGCGTGGATCGCATTGCTCCCGTGATGATCCGCAGATTTTGATTCTGGATTCTCGCTACTTTGTGGAAGTTGTTGTCTGATGCTGTTCCCCACGCTGCGATACCATATTCTAGGACTGGGCGGACATATCCAACATAGGCTCCACGTAAGACGGTGTGGTTTGCTCCCCAATATACATTGTGCAATTGGTCTAATGTTTTAGGTTTGATCAAGATTCATAGACTGGTTTAGCTCTGACAAAAGAACTAACAAGTACGTCCAGTTATAAAATCACATTTTTATTTCACATGCATGTTTTAGAGATTCTAACAGTCAAATTTTCAACCGCATATCAATTTTAATAACCAGAGCTTTTCATGGCGTTACCATAGACAAAAAATAAATATTTGAATATTATGCACAATCGTTGTCCTTGTGAACTGACAGATCCACTCTCTCCTCGTCTGGTGTCTGTCCGTTGACTGACCACTCAGGCCAGGTGGCAGTGACAGAGCATGTCGTCATGACACTTGGCGTGGTCTTTACCACAGGCGGTCACACACTCGTCGTTTGTGGTACAGTTGACCTGATTGTGACTTACTGGAAAATAGGGAGGGGGGGAGGGGTGGACAGAGGAAAACGTTGGTCAGACTTTGTTTACTGAACCCAGTTTGTTTGTCTGTCTGTGCGTACATATGTGTTATGTATACAGAGAACAGAATAAAAAGAGTGCTCATTTGTAGGTCTGTATGTACGTATATATGAATGTATGTATGTAAGTATGTCTCTCTTTATCTCTCTCGCTCTCCTTCCCCCCCCCCAA